TCTCCCTCTGTCACCAGGCTGGAGTGCAGGGTTGCAGTCTCGGCCCACTGCAACCTCTGCCTCCCGGGTAGCTGAGACTACAGGTGCGCACCACCACATCCAGCTAATTTTTGTGTTTTTAGTAGAGAGGGGATTTCACCATGTTGGCCAGGATGGTCTTGATCACGAGATCCGCCCGCCTCGGCCTCCCAGAGTTCTGGGATTACAGGCATGAGCCACTGCACCCAGCCCTGTAGCTTCTTAATTGACTCTAAGCCCAGGAGTTCAAGGCTGCAGTAAGCTTTTATTTCGTTGCTGCACTCCAGCCTAGGTAACAGAGCAAGACCTGTCTTTAAAAACTAATTAATTTTTTTTTTTTGGCCAGGCACAGTGGCTCACACCTGCCTGTAATCCCAGCACTTTGGGAGACTGAGGCGGGCAGATAACAAGGTCGGGAGTTCAAGACTAGCCTGCTCAACGTGGTGAAACCCCGTCTCTACTAAAAATACAAAAATTAGCTGGGTGTGGTAGTGTTGCTCTGCAGCAGCGTTTAAGAGGATTCATGAGAACGACTGCTGCAGCTCACGCTTATCCCCATCGGCTGCTGCGGCTCACGCTTATCCCCATCGGCTGCTGCGGCTCACGCTTATCCCCATCGGCTGCTGCGGCTCACGCTTATCCCCATGGAGTTATGATGTTGTGTCAGGGTCCGCAAGATCACCTTCAAGCTTGACAATTTGCTAGAGGGACTCATAGGGCTCAGAACAGTTATGGTTTGTTACAACGAAAAGATACAGACTAAAATCAGCAGAGTCTTTTCCAGAGGAAACCAGGCACAAGCTTCCAAGTGTCCCCTCCCCATGGAGCTGCGTGGGGACACAGTTAATTCTTTCAGCAACAATGTGTGACAACACAAGCAAAGTGCTGCTAACTAGAGAAGCTCACCCAAGCTGTAGTGTCCAGGGTTTCGATGGAGGGTGGGTTGCACAGGCATGCAGAGTGGGAGCTTAGGAACGTAAACCAAAACACTCTTGGGGGCTATCACCCTAGACTTAGTATTTTTGCCGGGGAAGCAAAACGTAATGTTTCCAGCAAGCATTTTGGTCAGGACGTAACAGGAGACCATTCTGAACAGCTGGGATTAGTGTTTTAAAAGAAAAGCCATGTGACATGCCTAGATCTATACTCCTAAAAGCAGATGGCTCACCCCATGAGGCTTAAATGCTTCTATAGCTGCTGCCTCCCATGCCT